GTATATTTAATTGTATATTTGATTACAATCAGACCTTGGATTATATAGCCCTAATTCCTAAACCAAAAGGGAAATACAATACGATCATGACTCTAATAGGACTCTTAATACAATCATGCCTCTAATAGGACTAATATAATTTGTAAGATTCACAATATATTCTCACACCCCAGCTCAAACTCAAGTTGTTTTAGCGGAAAACACGGAGAGTTTTCTAAGAAGAAACTAAAACTGAGCAGTAGTGTGAGTCTTGGTGAATAAGTCCGCAAGCTGCAAAGTCGAAGGGATTAAAGGAAGCGAGATAGAGGTAGATTGCAGATGTTGGCGAACAAAGTGACAATCAATCTCAATGTGTTTTGTCCGCTCATGGAAGACAGTATTGTGGGCAATCTGAACAGCACTGCGGTTGTCACAATAGAGAGAGGTCTGAGAAGACTGAGAGACACCCAAATCAGACAAAAGACAACGAAGCCAAACAATCTCAGTAGTGGCATGAGCCACAGCATGATACTCAGCTTTGGCAGTAAAGCGAGCAACAACTGATTATTTCTTGCTTTTCTAAGAGATTAAGGAATCACCAAGAAACATACAGAAACCAAACATAGACTTGTGATCAATAACATCACCAGCCTAATTAGAGTCTGCATAGGCCACCAAGTCCAAAGAGGAAGTAGAGCACAACAGTAAGCCCTAAAAGATGGTACCCCTGAGATAGTGAAGAATGCAAACCAAAGAAGCCCAATGGGTAGAGCGAGGAGCAAAAATGAACTAACTAACCACATGAACAGCATAAGCAAGATTCGGGCGAGTGATAGTAAGATAAACTAAACAACCCACAAGTTCGCGATATAAAGTGGGATCATCCAGAGGGACACCATTAGTAGAGTTAAGCTTCACATTAAGCTCAATAAGTGTATCAGAAACCTTAGTATCGGTAAGACTAGCACGATGAATGACTTCATTAGCATACTTAGCCTGAGACAGAAAATAGCCTTTTGCAGAAGAAGCAACCTAAATACCAAGAAAATACCGTAATGGACCCAGATCATTCATTTCGAAGGTGCGGCAGAGATGCTACTTGACCTCAGAGATAGTAGAAGAGTTAAAGCTAGTGATGATCATATCATTCACATAGAGTGAGAGAGCAACAAAACTAGCTGATGTATGTCTCAGAAATAAAGGAGAGTCAGAAGCAGAAGGATGAAACCCAAGCTCGGTAACAGCAGTCTGAAATCGATCATACCAAGCAAGAGGAGATTGCTTCAGACCATACAAAGCACACCGAAGATGACAAACTTGGCCAGAGGAATGGGGAAGGCCAGAAGGAGGACGCATGTAAACCTCCTTAGTGAGATGGCCATTATGAAAAGCATTTTTAACATCCACTTAATAAAGAGGTCAAGAACGAATAGCGGCAACAGAGATCAAAGTACAAACAATAGTAATCTTCGCAACAGGAGCAAATGTATTGTCATAATCAATACCATATTCCTGAGAGAAACCTTTGGCAACTAGACGAGCTTTGTAGCGCTTAAGAGACCCATCATAATGAGTCTTGACTTTGTAGACCCATTTGCAACCAACCAAGTTCTTACCAGCAGGCAAAGGAACCAACATTCAAGTACTAGGTTTCTGTAGAGCAGACAACTCATCATCCATAGTGTGAACCCAATGAGGATTCTGACGTGCCTCTTTGTAAGATTGAGATTCTGAAAAAGAGTGAATATCAGACAAAAAAGTACGATAGGAAGTAGAAAAACATGTATTAGACCAACCCAACTAGTTTGGAGGATGACATGCTCAAGTAGGATAGCAGTGTTCAGTAGGATCGGAGTCATTGGAAGCAGGAGGAGGAGCAGCAGGGGCAGAGACAACCGGTGGAGGAGGAGCCTTGCGACGAGAATAAAACCACACAATTTTGCCGATCTAAATCAAGTAAGTTTTACATGAAAAAGATTTGGCTCAGCATGTTCTATTCGATAAGGTAGGAGAAGAACCCGACTCGGTATTCTTAAAAAAATAAAGGAAGTAGAACCAAGTCAAGATGATATGGATCAATCCCCTCTTCTTACGCCAAAGATCTTACCATATCCGAAGGAACTGGAGTGACATCTCTTTTCCATTTCCATTCAAGAGTTCTTATGTGTTTCACGCCCCTTCGAACCTTGAAAAATGGACAAATAACTAATAACAGAGGAGGAGAAGAAACCGAAGGAGGAGAAGCAGCCAGAGGTGAAACAGAAGGAGAAGAAGGAACAAGCTCAAGAGGAACAGTGGAGATGTATTCATCAGACGAGACCTCAGAAAGAAATGGGTCAATGTGAACCAAATCCTCTTTGGATACTGGAGCAATGAGAGGGGGAAGCTGAAAGTAACATGACGGGAGACATAAAGGCGACGAGAGACATGATCGTAACAGTGGTAGCCTTTCTGAGTAAGACTGTAACCCAAAAAGGCACACAAGACAAACCGGACACTGAGTTTGGTCCTATCTTTACGAGGAAGGAGGATAAAACAAGCAGACCCAAAGACACGCAAAAGGGAATAATTAGGAGGTTGGGAATACAAAGCCTCATAAGGGGATCGACTGGAGAGTAAGGTTGTTGGCATGCGATTAAGGAGAAAAGCAGCAGTAAGAACTGCCTCACCCTAGAATGGTGCCGGAATAGAAGCAGAGAGAAGAGATCGAGCTGTCTCAAGGAGATAACGGTGTTTACGCTTGGCATGACCATTTTGGGCAGGGGTATTAGTAGAGGAGGTTTGGTGAATGGTGCCCAATTTGGCCAAATACTCATAGAATTTAGTTTTAAAGTATTCCCCACCCAAGTCAGACCGGAGTATTTTAATTGTGGCTCCAAACTGTGTAGTGATCATAGAATGAAATGTTTGATATATTTAGTAGAAGTTAGCATTATGAGCCATAAGATAAATCCAAGTGTAGCGGGTACAATCATCAACAAAGGACATATAATACACATAACCCCCTTTAGTAGGAACAAGAGAAAGTCCCCAGACATCAGTATGTACAAGAGAAAAAGGAAAAGTAGAAATTGAAGTACTGGTATTAAAAGGTAAAGCTATCATTTTAGCAAGTTTACATCCTCGACACTCACTAATTTGGCTAGGAGAAACTTTACCTACAATCCGGACTGCGCTAAAGATCGTAAGCGGTCAACAGACAAATGACCTAAGTGAGAATGCCATAATTAAAACTAACTCGATTGAGAATCTAACTGAAAAGATAAAAGTGCAACGGAGGAGGTAGATCGAGGAAGATGCAGGCTTTCTACCACATAAAGATCTCCAACTCTATAGTCGGTCCCAATCTGCTTCTTGGATACCCGATCCTGCACACAACAGACATAAGAAGAAAAGATAACATCAAAACTAGAAGCATCAAGCTGACTGATCGAAAGTAAGCTAATAGATAGTTGTTGAACATAAATAATAGAGGGAATAGTAACAGCAAACATAGCAGAGGGTAAAACAGACCCAATAGATAGGACAGACATACCAAACCTATTAGTAGTATTGATAGCAATAGAAAAATGAAGGGGATACAGTTTTGAGTAAGGAAAGGTGAGGAGTCATATGATGAGAGGCGCCAGAATAAAAAAGCCAGACAGATGAAGGAATACCTAAAGAGAACCCAAGCAAACTTGAATGAGGAGAGGTGAGAGCAGAGACATATGAAGATGACTAAGAGGTGGACCAGAGATGTTGATGCTGAGCAATCTAGGCACTCAAAGAAGCTAAGTCAGGATCAGAAGTTGGGGCAGAGGTAGTATAAGTAGCAGGAGGGTGAAAAGTACTCGGAGCAGGACCTCGTGACCGTGGCTGAGGCGGCTGAGAAGACTGAGCAGACTGACGGCCCTTCTTGGGACAGTTGTACTTCCATGAGAGCCAGCTGATCCCAGAGGTCTGTCATCTCAATGTAGAAGTGTTCAATAGATAGATCCCATTGATGAGCTCCCTAAATAGCTGTTTCCAACTCATACCGTTTGGCAAAGTTGGACTGCTGATAAACACTTTGTAAGTAATCCCACACCTCTTTGGCAGTGCTGTATTTAGAGAGCATCATCCTAATACGATCATCTATAGAGTTATGGAACCAGGTCAAAACTTGTGCATTATCACAATCCCAAGTGTCACAGGAACTCATATAGTCTTCTTGTTTGGGATTTGATGGACGAGGAATAGAACCAGAAACATATCCCCATTTTTTTCGACCGAGAAGAAAATTTCTCATAACACTAGACCAATAAGCATGTCACTTGTAAACTTGTATTTAATAGCTTGGATTTTATCTTTTGACATTGTAATGAACTAGAAATAAAAGAAAAGGGAACTGATGGGGTATAGTGATAAAACCCAATAAGATTGAGGGGTCAACCTGTAATAATCCAAAGTTGAGATAGAGGGGTTAAGGTGGACTGAAATCAGAACACATAGAACAAAACCAAAGGTAGAGAGAGCAAAGCCAAGAGTAAAGACTAGAGAGAGAGAGCCAACATAGAGGTCACGAGAGAGTGAGATCAAGCCCAAGCAGACTCGCGACGTCAGATCCAGCACCAGGAGGCAATCACGATGTCAGTGAAGACAGAGAGGACTGTCGTGACTTCCACGACCCAGAGAAGGCTTGCTTCGATCGACCCAGACAGATCCAGCAAGTAGGAACGAAGAACTTCGAATGATTTGAATGATCAAGGCCAGACCTAGGGTTTCGGACGTGGCTCTGATACCATGTAAGTTTCTGTATTTCTGTATATTCAATTGTATATTTGATTACAATCATACCTTAGATTATATAGCCCTAATTCCTAAACCAAAAAGGAAATACAATATGATCATGACTCTAATAGGACTCTAATACAATCATGCCTCTAATAGGACTCTAATATAATTTGTAAGATTCACAATATATTTCATAATATATTCTCATAATGGAAACATGGTGATATCCAGGTTTGGAATCCTGTGTTGTTGTCTAAATTTTGTAGGGGACAACATCTATGGTTCTTGCAGGTCTTATTGCAGGACTGAAGTTACTTGGCGGTACCTTGGCTGAGCACACATTTTTATTTTTTGGTGCTAGAGAAGTAAGAATCTAATTCCTGCTTTACTTCTTTCATCTCATCTATATTTTGGCATTCTGAGGAAAATCAAAAACTAAATATATAGAGCATGGGAAAGCATAGGTCGAAATATTGGGCAGCCAATAACTTCAGTGGAAACTTATTAATGTATTCACATTCTAGACCTATTTTCTCTCTATAGGCTCGTGCAGAAGAATTCCCTCTCTTACTCATATTGAGGACTCATTCATTCTAATTGTTTTTAAGCAGTCCTAGCTTTGAGCATAATGATAGTCTTGCATTTCACTCCGCCCCACCCCCCCGCAGTCAAAAAGAGAGAGAGAGAGAGAGAGAGAGAGAGAGAGAGGTAGATAGAGAGGGAGAATCTTTTTGGTTGGGCAGTTTTAATTTTTAAGTTCTTATTTTGTCATCCCTTTCTAGCAGCCTGCTTCTAGATCATCAAGTATCGATCATCAACAGAAGAATACATAATCAAATTTATTTTTATCTATCTGACTCTAGTCCTCTGAATTGTAGGCTGGAACTGGAATAGTAGAACTTATAGCTCTTGAGATACCAAAACAGGTAATCATTTGCTTCCATGTGGAGTTTAATCTTCAGATTATTTCTTAAAGTATGTCTAGAGCAACCCTCTACGTGGTTGCCGTAAGTATTCTAAAAGAATTCGTATATTCAATTGTGTATTGTTTACAAAGAGGTCATCAATTTATGTAGCCTAAACCTAGGACTGAAAAAAGAAATACAAAGATTCCTATTTTTACACAATCATGCCATATATACAATATATATTCTCACACCCTCGCTCAAACTCAAGGTATTTTAGTAGAAAATACTAAGAGTTTGGTAAGAAGAAACTGAAACCGAGCAGTAGTGTGAGTCTTGGTGAAGAAGTCCGCAAATTGCAAAGTCGAGGAGACAAAGGGAAGCAAGATAGAGCCAAACTACAGATGCTGGTGTACAAAGTGACAATCAGTCTCAATGTGTTTCGTACGTTCACGAAAGACAGTATTGTGGGCAATCTAAATAGCACTGTAGTTGTAACAATAGAGGGAGGTCGTAGAAGGCTGAGGTACACCCAAATCAGAGAGAAGACAACGAAGCCAAACAAGCTTAGCAGTAGCATGAGCCATAGCACGGTACTCAGCCTTGGCAGTAGAGCAAGCAACAACAATTTGTTTCTTGCTTTTCCAAGAGATCAAGGAATCGCCAAGAAACATATAGAAACCAAAGGTGGACTTGCGATCATTAACATCACAAGCCCAATCAGAACCAGTATAGGTGACCAAGTCTAAAGAGGAAGTAGAGGACAACAACAAGCCCTGAAAGATGGTACCCTGGAGATAGCGAAGAATGTGAACCAAAGCAACCCAATAGGTAGAGCGAGGAGCAAAAACGAATAGACTAACCACATAAATAGCATAAGCAAGATCAGGGCAAGTGGCAGTCAAATAAACTAAACAACCCACCAGCTTGTGATAGACCGTGGGATCATCCAGAGAGACACCATTAGTAGAGTTGAGTTTCACATTGAGCTCAATAGGTGTATCAAAAACCTTAGTATCAGTAAGACCGGCACGATAAATAACCTCATTAGCATAGTTGGTCTGAGACAGAAAATAGCCCTTTGGAGAAGAGGCAACCACAATACCAAGAAAATACCGCAATGAACCCAGATGTTTCATTTTGAAGGTGCGGAAGAGATGTTGCTTGACCTCAGAGATAGCATAAGAGTTAGATCCAGTGATGATCATATCATCCACATAGAGTAGGAGAGCAACAAAAGCAGCCGAAGTATATCTCAGAAACAAAGCAGAGTCGGAAGCAGAAAGATAAAATCGAAGCTCGGTAATGGCAGTCTGAAAGCGATCATACTAAGCACAAGGAGACTACTTCAAACCATACAGAACATGCCGAAGATGACAAACCTACCCAGAAGAGTAGAGAAGACCAGGAGGACGCATGTAGACCTCTTCAGTGAGATGACCATTAAGAAAAGCATTCTTAACGTCCATCTGATAGAGAGGTAAATGTTGAACAACAGCAATAGAAATCATGATATGGACAGTAGTCATCTTGGCAACAGGGGCAAATATCTCCTCATAATCAATACCATACTTCTGTGAGAAACCCTTGGCAACCTGTAGACGCGCCCGAACGTCCCGGGAAAATCCCCGTTTTGTTCATTTGGCTGCTACAGTTCGGACTCAATGTCGTGGTCCTGAATCTAATCTCGCGAAGTGCAATGCAAGACTGATAAATCACCAAAGAGTCCAAATCCGGCAAATCATTTTGGAAAATTGATTTTAATAAAGAAGTGCCAAACATGGACTGCTTTGCCAGATACAGAGTTGCCACCTAAATGTTTTTGTTTTGGGAAATCTAGGAAACCCTGACTCGTTGCCTAAGGCCACGTGTCCGTCATCACCAAAGTTGCCTCGGCTTGGGAACTTGGGTACGAGAGGGGAAGGTCATGTAATGAGCACCCCCGCTCGCCCAATCAAAGATCGGCCTGTACTAAGCATGATATCTTGTTTTTGAAAACACATGTGTTCTTATTCCAGTTATTAGCTAGCTTTACTATGTGATGCATACAGCATACAAGTATAGACTACATCGCCTAAGTTGGAATAAAACATCTCATGTTTGTTTGTTTGAAAATGGTTTGAAGGTGATATTCGCAAGTAGGCTAAGACGTGGATTTTCCACCCTCGAGTGGGCTTAAGAAAACATGATTTGTCGCTCTCAAGTGGGCTTAAAACTCGCATTTCAATGAATTGTTCCAATTCAAGGAATCCAACCTTCACCCATAGGCATTCAGGCAGTTAAACACATAAGCAGTTAGCCTTATGGCAAGCATGCTATCATGGCAACACTAACACATATGCAAGATGCTAAAGCATAAAAGCTTACCTAGTACTCCGAGCCAAAACAATAGCTAGTTAGTAATGCATGATCCTAGCTATGTTAAGATGGCTAATGCAACACATGCAAAATGCAATTAGAAATAGGGTCGGCTATTCTAAGATGTCATATGAGATGCAATTTGATAATCATGTATTCAAGTAGGAATAGAAATGTAATGCAATTAGTATGATGCACCGAGCCCGGTGCGTACAATACGAATGAATGTATGCAAACATGCTATCATAAGTATGCTAATTGAAATATGACCTAGAACTAACCACTGAAAGCAGGTAAGTAAAAGGGAGAAAGACGTGGGGTTGGAAGACATTCACACACTCACGCACACTTATTACAAAATTCGCCCTCTCGACGGAGGGTTCGAATAAAAAATACAAATCAGCTAATTAATTAACTACCCTAGCTAATTAATTATTACAAAACCTTAACTAATTAAGCAAATTAATTAAGTTACACAATAAACTAAGTACGAAACTAAAGGGGCTGCCACAGCTCTGCCCCGGAATGATTGAATGATGCATGCTCGATCGCCTTACTCGAAATTCGTTGCCATGCCTCATGTTGCCTCTGTTTGCACTGTTTTGCACCTCTGAAAACTGTGAACATCTCTGACATACTTCTAGTCCATCTTATGGATACACTGGGAGTCCATCGGCCAAAGTATATGGCTATCGGCCAAGGGAAATGGGTCATCGACCAAGTATAAGGCTATCGGCCAAACACCGTTAGTCGATCGGCACTGAATATAGTCGATCGACTATTCCTTTCTGTGGATTGCTCCTTTGCTGCAGTAGAGGGAAAACAAAGCATGGCAATGCATTTACAAGATAATGTTTGCAACTACACCCCTTATCATGTTTAAGGCTCAAAGGTGTGTAGTTCTCGACCCTCGGGCCACCAATCACACATTTCGATGCATGATGGCCAAATGAGCCAAGTGTGCAACCATCAATATAATATAGTCGATCGACTATTCCTTCCTGTGGATTGCTCCTTTGCTGCAGTAGAGGGAAAACAGAGCATGGCAATGCATTTACAAGATAATGTTTGCAACTACACCCCTTATCATGTTTAAGGCTCAAAGGTGTGTAGTTCTCGACCCTCGAGCCACCAATCACGCATTTCGATGCATGATGGCCAAATGAGCCAAGTGTGCAACCATCAATATAGAATGATTGCACAAAACAAATGGATGCCTCACACTCTATCATGTTGGATAAAGAATGTCGGCGACTAAGGATTGAGGCACGTTTTGTCACTTCAAGTACGAAACGTCCCTCGTTCCTCATGTTTGGTTTGACACCCCAAACCAAACATAATGCAATGTATGCAACAATGGAAAAGCTATGTAATGCGTCATAAGCATGCCAAATGCAATATGACTCAAACATGTACACAAGGCTAAGGTAACAAGCATGTGATAAAATGCAAGCTAGCAAGCATGTAAAATGCAACCATAATCCTACGAACATGCATGGCATGCAAATATGGACAAGCATGCAAGCATGATGTAAAGTAGCAACTTTTAACAACATGGCAAATGGACTTAAACTAAAGACGGACAGACCTCAGCCATGCCCAAAATCAGTGGCCAAAATGCCAAGAAATGATGGAAATGAAGCATGAAAATGGCATGGCAAACGTGCATGCCAATTGGCCCAAGGACTAAAGCTTAAAGATGCAACTCTTAAGCACACTTAGAAAGTGACAAGCATGGATATGTGATGGCACCATAAGCTCTAAAATCATATGAGGAGTGATGCCAAATCAACCAAACAATGCAAGTATGGCATGCAAGGGAGCTCAAAGCTTGAGGCTAGCACAAGGAGCTTGTACCATGGCCATGCAAGGCAAGCCCCAAAGGGCCAAGTCCCAAGGCAGGCCAAAATAAGGTTAGAACGTGCATAGAATGAGGCCAAAACATGTTAGAAAGGTGAGCACAAAACATGACGCATATAAGGCCAATAAGGATGATTGTACTACACCTATCAAATCCAAACATGGCATGACTTGACCAATGAAAAAGCAAAGATATGGCATGTCAAAATAGGCCCAAAACCCCACTTAGATGGCATCCCAAAGACCTAATCATGGAGTCATGCACAATGACCCAACCTTAAGGCACCAAACATCAACCTCCCAATGCATGGAAAAGATGACAAATGCAAGTGTATGGCTACACTACATGGACTAAAATCACACATGGAATGATGCCAAATCATGAAAATGGTCCAAGTGATGCATGCTAATGACTTGGACACTCAAAGCTAACAAGCTAGAATGCATGGTAGCTATACAAAGCATTGCATATATGATCAAAACAACACCAAACAAAGCTTAAACATGGCAAAACATGACTAAAAGTTCCTTTCAGTTGAGCCAAAATATGCAAGCATGATGGTCCAAATGCATGGTGCATGTTAAGGCAAATGAGAGGATTGCGAGACAAGTGTATGATGCATGCAAGAGGCTATCAAACCAACTTAAAACAGAGGTATATCATGGCCAAATAACACCAAATACTTGCTGAAATGAAGCCAAACACATGCTAAGCAAACATGCTACCATTATGAGCCAAATATACAAGCAAATGAGACACAAGGAGAGAGGGGTGTCCCTCTCCTATTCAAGACCTCAAAACT